ATGCATTAGCTACCAACACTCAACGGATAACAACACTTCCGTTTATTGATAAAATTGCAGCCAAAGTGAATTAAGAGAGTGCAAAATTCAAGGTGCTTACTGGAAAGCAATAAAACAAAATGATGATGATGAACGAATTTGGATCACAAACGAAAACCAATTGAAATAAATCAGTCGCTAAACAACAATCGCTATTACCGAAGAAACTCATTGTGGCAAATTAAGAAAGAGGATATTTTATATAAATAAGCTGATTATTTTAACAAACTCAGAAACTAGACGAACATCGAATACAACCCATCTTTCTGACGACAAGAACACATAGCGAATAGAACCATCAGTATTTTTAAAAATCAGAAAAAGTTTTTTTTTACGGCGTGAGAGGTTGTTATGCACAAATCAATGTGGATGAGGACAGACAGAGTAGATGAAAAAGATTAGCAATACCCGCTCAATATGGGATCATGATTACAGTTGAAGGTTTTCTTGTGTCGGTTGACAAAGCCGATACAGATGACATCTTAAGTGAAGAGCGTTTGACAGTCCAGCTGCTACAATACTATCAAATAATATGCAAAGCAAACTACCTACATCTTATAAGAGGCTGCTGCGCTTCAAAATTTGAAAATTCCCATTCGTAGACTTCATGAAAAACGAGACAAACTCAACGAGGCACAACCATTTCTTCACTCATCGATGAACGTTCTCAATTAATTGCACATCCTTTGGAAACAACACAACAACAACAACAACAACAACAAAATCAACACTGATTGATCGAAGACGATATGCTAATAATAAAGATTTCTTAAACAATAAACGAGAGCATGCTCAGCCAAGAATTCGATTGCAAATAAATGACAACAATATAGAACAATTTCAGCACGAGACAATATCAGAATTTCAATACAATATATCACAGAGAAGAGTTGAATATAAGGCGTTTGTTCATTCACAAACCATTAATCGCATTCACAAACACACAACAACGACAACTCATATTTTATAAGTGATCGTTTATAAACCAAATGCTCCGCCAAGCCGATGTCTCCGATACAAGAAAAACAATAAAATAATCAGTCCAAACAGTGCACTCATCACATACAAATCCCAATTCGGTCCAAACGCGTAATCAAGACCAGCCGTAAATGAATTCTGAAACTGTCGAAAATTTTAACGGAAAATGATATTAACGTTGCGAGAAAAAATAAGTTTGACGACCGCAGAGAATGTTGAACTCATCAAAATGAATTCTTTTTTTTTTCAGCTTTACAAACAACATCTTCAAACGACAGAATTCACACGTAACTGATCACTATCATGCTAACGACTGACCAAAATTGGAATAAGATACTGGAAATCTCTCGACCAGAAAGTGGATTATAAGCAAAAAAACATCAGCAAAACAGTCACCTCTTTGATATACTCAATCGCGAACAGCATTCCAAGTTTCATCAACGCTAAATTCACTGGAATATAGGCATCTGGACTTGTTTCAGCGGCCATATCGTAGAAACGTTTCGCAAGGTGAATATCCTTAAAGCGTTGGCGAATAAATTAATTCACAAAATGAATTCCGCCATTCAACAACAACAAACTCTTTTTGAGTTCTTCTATTTATCAACAAAAATGTGCGAATTCTAACTGAATTGCAAGTGCAATATAACGAACTCTCGAAAATATGAACAATAAGTGCCATATATGTCGAGCGCAAACCTTATTGATGCCAAGTCCTTGTTCATGCATAAAACCAAGATTGAACATTGCCTGAGGTGTTTGATGTCGATCTGTGGCTATTTTATATTGGGATGCGGCCATTTCGTAATCAACCGGTGTACCCCAACCATAATAATGATAATCGCCTAACTTCACTCGAGCTAGCGCATAATCTTGATTCGCCGAACGCTGCCAATGCAGTAATGCACGTTGTAGGGCCTCATTTGGTGGGAACAAATCTGTTTCACCTTAGAAATGCTTTCATAACTGTGCGTGAAATGGATACAACACAATTCGAACATGCATCAGTTAAAACACACTCAAAAATTAAAAACGCAAAACAGATCCGTAAACAACTTTCTCTTCAAAAATTATTTCGCTGCTAAATTCACAGTTAGAAATGATGAAGTTTCATGTCGTTGATTCACCAAGAAACACTCACATCAAAACTCCAAATCAATGGAAAAGATAAAGTATTCTGCAATATCGCCTTTCCATTTCAAACGACTGTTCAGAAGAAGACGTGAAAAAAACAATAACAAAAATGAAAAAAATTTAAAAAACACCACATGAATGAATCTTGGAACCTCGGTCGATGATATATGCGAAATTCGTTTGCGCAGGTTCATAGCCAAGTTCGGCCAGAAACAGATATTTGAAAGCCGCTTCATCGGTTCGTCCATCGCGATAACTACTATATGCCTCCATCAAACGTTCCGACCAACGACCTCGTTCAGCCACATTCTTATACAGCTCAACGGCTGTATGACAGTTTCGCGGTACACCAGTTCCTTAACAAACGCCACAGAATATCATCTGCTTCAATCGATGCAGCATGCAGCTTCACAGAACAAATTCTTCGCAATGATCAATTTCCANAAAAATAAACCAGAGAAAAGGTTCGAAATTACGCACATATCCTACGAAAAATCAATAAGACACAAGCAAATTAAGAGATCACAAACCGGTTGCATGAATCTGTGCAAGATTGAAAAACGCTAGGATATGCCCAGATTGTGAGGCCAATTGGAAATATTTGATGGCTGTTTTGAAGTCACGTCTGACGCCTAATCCTTCTGAAAACAAACATTCTTCTGAACTTTTCAACGATTCAAGTTTCCACTGAAAATTTTAAATCTTACGAATCAATTGAGCACAGTCATGATTCCGAATCAGAAACTTTCATTAAACGACGACAGCAACAACAACAAGACAATGAATAGTTGTTTAAGCACAACACAAACTGTAATCCTCACTGTAATGCATATGACCCAGATTCAGCTGACCATCCACCCAGCCCTGTTCGGCGGCTAACGTGAACAATTTCAGCGCTTTCGTATAGTCCTGTTTAACACCTTTACCATACATATACATCACTCCCAGACCACTTTGACCGATTGGATTGCCCTATAATGGATAACTGATTGACTAGTCGCAACTGTTTCGTTCATATTTTCAGCTAGAGAACCTTCAGTAAACCTCTACACAAATGTCTCCATAAACAACTGAATGCTTCACCTTATCGGCAGCCTTCTTAAAGAACTGGAATGCAGTTGCGTTGTCTTGTGGTGTTGCCGACGTACCGTCCAGATACATCTTACCCAAATATGCGTACGCATTCGTGCTCCCGGCTTCGGCCGCTGTCGAGAAGTACTGACTGGCCAGGTCCATATTCTGCTCAACGCCTCGACCACCAGTCATGTACAACTGTCCCAAGCCAACCTGAACCGTTAAGTGAATAAAAGAACGACTAAGTGAATGAATGAATAAACACATAAAACCAACAAATCAACAAGTGCACAAAAATCATTCAAACGTTTGTTT